AAGGACTTGCCCATGCACGAGAAAAACGCAGAGAGTTCATTTGTCGAACTTTTACTTCGCAACAAAATCGTTTGGGAATCATTTAGCAATGTCTGCCCTGACGAGGGAGTGCCGAATAATATAATAATACGCCGTGTGGTAACATTTCGGGCACATTGTTTGTCTTAGAGAATGTGGGTGAAATTTTTTACCATCTGCTGTAAAATCTGCTTTGCAGTTCTTCCTGACAGTTAGAATTTAAAACAAAACTTTGTCTTGTTATATTGATTGAAGATGCTGTTGTTTGGGTTGCTTTTTAAACGGAACACCCTGTATACCAAAAATAAAACTGTACTCAAAGAAGTTACTTGTTACGTCACCGAGGAATGCAAAGTGAAATGCAGAGTTTATGAGGAAATGGTGATGAATCGCGTTGCTTAGTTTCCGTCCGCTTCCAAAACAGTAATTATCGAATTTCAACTTTAACAGTTAACGTTTACAGACAGATTAGATTAGTTGTTGCCTTTTTATATCGGAGGTCCGGATTCGCTAACAGCGTTTTACCAATTATATTCTCGCACACGCTGTATTAATATTATCTACGACCATAAAAGTCGACCAAAGTTTCGCACAATTATTCCTTTATTTGCCCGTGATTTCCGTCATTTTATGTCCGTAACTATCCTATTTAAGGTTGGTTTTGGCCGATAACTTTCGGACATTTCTTGTACATACAATGAAAACTACATCAACGTCGCTACCAAATGGTTAGAACTGCTTCTTCGTATATAGGAGGTCCCATGTTCAAATTTCGACCCGGGGACCGGCTGTCCCTCCAGGTTAGTAATCTTGTCTTTCGACTCAGTATATTCTGACACAGTTAAGTAACGATGATGATGATGATGATGATGATGATATTTTGGTCGGAAATCTTGGAGGGGAGTCCTCTTGGCCAGTTAGGCGACAATTGAACCAGCCTTAAAGGACTCTGATTAATAGAGTCCGGTGGTCGGTGTGATTTATTTACGACCAAGCTAATTTCGCGAACTATAGCCTCGTTCTGTGGGAACCTGCCTGATACCTTCCTTCCAGTCTCTCTCTCTCTCTCTCTCTCTCCATGTCATGCTTATTACAAAGCAGCGCCCAGTGTTCAAGAAGCCAAGTACACGGGTGCATTGTACTGTCTTGGGTTTAAGCAGCGAACCCACGTATTGATATATTGGATGGGTCAACACATTTTTATGACAGGGTCTGTACTTTGAGATAATGTTCTTTTATTTTCTCACGGCTCTGGTCGCACAAGGTGCATTTCCTATGCTCCTAGGTGTGGCATTTCCCGTACTTTATTAGCCGACTTAATGGTGTAATAGCAACTAGTTACAGGACAACAAACCACATATAATTCACATGTATAGCTTAGGCACTACAGTAACTAGGCTACGGGCTGGGTGATTGGTTTCGATTCCCGACGACAGTATTCGTCTCCTCTCCCGCCGCAACGTCCAGACCACCTCCGGGACCCACCAAACCTCCTATCCAGTGGACACCTGGTTCTTTTCTCGGGGATAAAGCGGCCGGCACGTGAAGCTGACCACTCACCTTCATCTAATGTAAAGTTTAAGAAAGCGTGGAGGTTTACCTCCACTCCCCGCTTTGTTAAGCACCAGGAACAAGCTTTGCCTTCACGGAAATTTGGTCCCCGTCCTGTTATTACACGGGAAGAGTCGTGTGGGTACAATTTTATGGGTGAAGATGTATTTGGCATCAGCGTGTGAAGAGAACTTGTTAATGGCAGAGGAATTCTGAGCGCCGGACCATCTACTCCGATGTTGCCAAGTTCTACGTTACCTTAAGTGTGTTTTCATTTCAAAATTTTTTCCTTCACGTTTGACACTTCAGTGTGTAGTACAGAATTGCTGGCGCTGGAAGTGATTTTGGTAACTCCTCATTATTTCTGTCTCCTGAATCCAAAAGAAATTCTGTTCGTTCCCCAAAAATTATTTTTAATTTATTTTTTTTAGTTGAGGACACTTCCTTTGTACAGGAATATGTTTGATTTATTTGATTAGTTCAGTTTTGTTTTAATGTCTAAATGTATTAATGTTTCCCTGCCATAAGCTTTATAAAAGAACTGATTTTATTTGAATTATTATATAGGCAGCATGTTTGCTGAAAGGATACCTGATTTCACGTGACATACCCTCCTCCTAATTGTCTTCCCATCCACAAAATGTCAACGTCTGTTCTGCAGATTGTCTTTAGCATCTGTATCTCCCGGTAGATGACAACCCTTCTAGAGCCGAAGCGTGGTTTGTTTGCAGGTGTCACAGCGGGTGGAAAGGTCGTCTTTGTGACGAGTGTGAGAGGTATCCGGGCTGTCTACATGGGTCCTGCCAGAAACCCTGGGATTGCTTGTGTGATGAAGGATGGGGTGGCTTATTTTGCAACCAAGACCTGAATTATTGCACCAACCACAAGCCATGCAGACATGGTGGCACTTGTTTCAATACTGGGCAGGGTTCCTACACCTGCAGCTGCCCCCCGGGGTTCACGGGAACGGACTGCGAACGGAAACTGGATGACTGTGCCCATCATTCCTGTCTCAATGGTGGAACATGCAAGGTAATTGTTTCTCAGAGAGAAGGGTTTCTTGGTTTGTGGGGTGGGAGAGATAGTGGCCCTGAAATTTATCCTATTTTGTTTTTGCGGTGAAATATGCTTTCTCTAAAGCACTGAGATGGTTTCTGTAGAATTTCGTGTTTGTGGTCTACACTGAAATTTGTCGCGCATATTTAATTTATGTTTCTTAAAAAAAAAATTGTACTTCAAAGAGTGGATAAATAGCACATTGAGGTATACAACTTTTATTTGGTCGTAGGACGAAGGAAAATAATTTCAGGCTATTTGGATTGTAATTGTGATGCAGTTACATTTGAGACAGTAAATTTTTATCTGCAGTGAATGAGAATTGGCCAGTAAAATTTGCAAAGTAACAGAATGCATATATTTTTTTTTAAGTAGAGCGCGAGTACTTAGTTTGGGATTATAATAATTGTGTTTTGTTCTGTTTCTAGGAAAATGGGACAATCAGCTACCGCTGTGAATGTCCGAAAGGCTGGCATGGCCCTCATTGTGAGACTTCTGCACAGACTTGTGAAGATAAGCCCTGCAAGAACGGAGCTACGTGCAGGGACACCTCAAAGGGATTTGTCTGTAAGTGCCCTGCAGGGTTCAGCGGCACTGACTGTCAGAATGAGATAGATGAATGCTCTCCCTCGCCTTGTAAAAACAATGCTAGCTGTGTGGACCGCGTCAATGGTTTTGATTGCATATGCCCCACTGGGTTCACCGGAGAACGCTGCGAGACTAATGTGGACGACTGTAAGGGGAACACATGTCTGAACGGAGGGACTTGCGTGGACATGGTGAACCAGTTTCGTTGCCAGTGTGTGCCTGGTTATATTGGACCTCTCTGCCAGAACAAAGTAGATTACTGTCAGACGAAACCCTGTGCAAATGGAGGAGAATGTACAGTTCTTATCAATGACTACAGATGTACTTGTCGGCCGGGATTCACAGGAAAGGACTGCAGTGTCGATGTCGACGAATGCAGTTCTTCTCCGTGTAAAAATGGCGGCACGTGTTCGAATAGAGTAAATAGTTTCCAGTGCCTGTGTCCTCAGGGATACCACGGCAAGACCTGCAACAACGAAGCCAATGTTTTGGATTCCCAGCAAGATTCCTCAAGCGCCGTTGCCTTTGCAGCACCCAGTAACATTTCGAGACATGTCTCGGAAGAATCTGGTGACGATGCAGGTCTCTCGACTGAGCACGTCGTCGTCATCGCGACTTTATCGACGGCCGTACCAGTCCTGGTGCTCGTAGCGGCTGTCGTCGTGATGTGCATGAAACGGAGAAGGAAACATGAGCAGCAGAGGGCAGATGAAGAAGCCAGAATGCAGAACGAGAGAAACGCTGTGCACAGTAGTATGTCAAAGCGCGGTGGAGGTGGTTCGGTGGGTGGGGACACGCACATGATTAAGAACACGTGGGGGAAGTGTATCAATAATGTATTGGCAGCAGGGGATGAAGGGGGAGGTGGTGGTGTTGTGAGTGTGAGTGCGGACCTTAGTAATGGTGGTGACTTGTGCTACCCCAAACAGCAACAGGTTGCAGACAATAGTGGACCCGTGTATACGCTACAGCGAACGAGGTCGCATAAACAGTTGAACACCGATGTTCAACGTGGCAGCCAGTCGAACAGAACTTCGACTGTATTGCTCCCCAGTAAACTGGACAAAGACTTTGATAATTTATGTCCCAGCAATACGCAGCAACAGCAGAGGACACCGTCATCCAACGTTGCGGACAAGAGGATATCTGTCCTGTCCGTAGATTCGTCACTTTGCAACGCGAGGTGAGTTAACGCTTTACGAAAGTCTTCATTATTTTGTGTAGTTCCCATCTTACAAATAACGTTTATTTTAGAAATTATAGACTAATTTTATTTTCTAAAAAAATTATGATTTTTCTAAAAGTATCGAGAACTGTCATTTAATGACGTAGCAGAGAGAAAATTGGCGTTTTAAATTTTAGTTTCAAAGTGCCCTTTAATGCATGAATTGTAATTCCTCCGTAGTGGTAAACTATTAACAAATAATAAATTCATATAAACAAAATTTTTGAACTGCTTAATATTTCCTGACGAAGAAGAAACGTGCCTGTCTTGACTGGCGAATTGTCACCTTGTGTGTTTCAGTGATCCAACATTAGTCAAGCGATGTCTCGACAAAGACAGTAATAGTATTCTGTCAGCAGGAGCTGGCTCTGGGCCGACAAGCAGTGTGTTTGTGATAGACGAACATTTCCACCACCAAGAGGGTCTCCTTGCTACCGAAGTGTAGCTCGACTGTGTGAATGTATGATGTGATCTCTATACTCCGAGTGACTGGTGACGAATGCCCCCCATGCATGCTGTGCACCCCTTCGTAGACCCTCCCTTACACCCCAAGACTGAACGCGTTTACACGCCAATCGCTAATAATGACTGAACGTGTTTACACGCCAATCGCTAATAATGACTGAACGTGTTTACACGCCAATCGGTAATAATGACTGAACGTGCGCAATATAAGGTGTTCGTTGGAGGGTGGTGGTGTACGGAACGAAGAAAGAAGAAAACAATTACTGAAGAAGCACCTGTACATTTATTTATTTTTATTGATAACTCCTATACTGGAAATGTACTTTTCAATGTTGTCGTTCCTGTTATGATTAATGACAAAGGTTCATCTCAGATTCAAGAGAATAATTCAAATGAGATGTGCTACCACGTAGAATTATCGTTGTTAATTGTAGACAGATTTAAAAATAAATAAAAAATACTCCACAGAATAATAATAATAATAATAATAATAAGCTGCTGGGTATGCAGAATTGATCAGTTTGCTAGTGTTCGCCCCCCCCCCCTCTGCATCATTTAAAGAAGTCACAAAATCACACTTGTATTGTGTGTTTTAAACCATAAGCAATAGTCTCAGAAGTAAGAGAGAAGTTTATAAGCAAACCATAACCTAAAATGAAAGCAGACTATCTTTTGTAACTCCATTTTTGAAACTAAGTAATAATAATTATTAATATTTGTGTGTGCGTGGTTGTACGTACGTAATTTTGTGATCTATTTGAAATCAAACTAAGTCAGAATTAATCTAAACAATGGACAAGATGTTTTTGATGCAGTGTTTTTTGTCAGTATTCCAGTTTCGTAAATGACTGATGACTGAAATTTGAAGAAAAGAAACCATGTGTATTAATGAGAAGGCGGGTTTTGTGATTGAGGGACAGGTTTATGTGTTTTTATATGGATTAGATCTGAAGTGTTTGTCATGATAGTTTGTGCGAGGGATTGAAAAATTGGTTTAAACAGCTGTTTGTTTATTATTTTTTGAACAAAGTTATCATGTTCCTGTTGTTATGAAAGCTAAGTCATTTTTCCAGGTTTTGAAGTGGTCGCAAGTAATTTGTTCTTATGGGCCGGCCTTCCCAGGGCTCGTGTTCATTGACGCACACAAAACCACTTGCAGCCCTTCAAATAACGTCACTTGTTGTAATATGTACTTACTGTTTTTTTTCTCGGACGAGTTAAAAATTGTAAAGACTTTAAAAATACATGTAAGATGACTTTTTTCCTTTTTTGTAAAATAATGTATATTTATAGTGCAAAGTGTAATATTGTGTACATAGTTTAAAAAAAGAATTGTCAGTGCGACAATTTAACTTCAGTAATAAAATTGTCATTGTTTGGCTATTTTTTCAAGCATTCAGATATTGTTCCTGGTATTTAAGATTACAAATATTGTCCAGTTGTGTTGTTGAAGATCGGCACAAGTTTAGTAAAACTGATTCTTTTCAGCAAAGTGAAACTTCTGTTGTCACCTTTATCTTCAGTACATTACGTCTTCCTACCTCGTTCCTTAGTTATGCCATCTTCCCCAAGTATTTCGCCAATTAACAGAATTCCCTGTTGTAGACTGTCAGGGGGGTCATTATATATTTATAACCTGTTCCTGTTTTTAAAATCATTGTGGCCACGCCAATATTTCCAGATTTGCCTCTCTTTTGAGACTATAAATCCAAAATCTTCTGTACGATTGTGAGATCTGAGGTTTTCGCAGCTGTGAAGATATGAATGCTCATGTCGTGGGTTGTGATGTCATGCGGACTTGTAGGCAGATATACCCGCTCCAAGTCCACGCGACATTTACAGTTCAGTAGAACAACTTTATAAAAGTTGCATTAACTACCCACCTTCTCCTTGATTTCAACACTAACAATATGGTGTGTAAAATACAAATTTTAGAGTTCCTTTTCATGCTCCTAACTTCAAGGGAAGGAACACGAGAGGCTGATCACTACCAAGGTTTGGTTGGTCTTTCTGCTCAGACAGCCTCGTGGCAGGTTGATCACTTCCAGGGACAGCTTCACCTTTTACCTTTGCGGTATGAACATGACAGCGTAGAGTTGGTCTTCAGCAACGAGTAAGATCCTTTTCCTGGTCTCGGCGTATCCTGTTACAGTACCGCATCGAAACAACTTGGAGCCTGAGTGGAGGAAATGACTCATTTGCGATGAGGCTGTTTCTGCTGGCGTGAAAGGTGATGGCCGATTCATGTCTTTCGATACGAAGAAATGCTTTGTCTCTCAGTTACCAGTCGGGTTATCGTCTACCCTTTCATGACTGCCTTCAGGATGCCTTCCTTCTACAACCGTCTTCTGATTCATAATAACCTTATCATTCAACGTTCTTTTACCCAACAGCCTTTAAATAAGTCAAGAAGGCTTTTGATTCAATTTCTTCTGCCTGTTAGATCTGTTTTTAATAAATATGTTGCATTAATTTGTGCTGTAAAATCTTTCGTTTTGCCATGGTCCATTAGTCGTCTTGTGTTTAGTCAGAGCCAGCCACTAACTTCTCAACTGAGACCGTTTGCTTTCCAGACAGACTTTTTATCCTCATGGTCCCTTGTTTTTACATTCCACGCGTATCATCACCTGTGTTGTAATGTTTAATGAACTGCAACTTTTAAAAGTAACATTTTGTTAAGAAACCGCGGTGACCAAATAACATTAGGTTTTTACGTTCTTGTCTCTTGTGTCAATTATTTTATTGGCTGTTGCGTTTGGAGCTTACGAGTACAAGGTGCAGAGTAGAATATTTTGTATAAAAAAAGGAGAGCGAGATGGGCGGGTCACACAGAAAGTATGGAAAAGCTCGTAACTGTATTGATTCTCAGTGTTTATCTGTATCCTGGTTACTGATTTGCTGTTCATCATTAAACTCATAAGCTGCTTAGAGTGACAGTTTCTGCCAAATATCGATGTCATTAACAATTTTTTTCTGGTAACAAATAGGACTATACAATATTTCAATATACGTACGCGGACCGCGTGATGCCCGCGGGCGTCGAGTTGAGAATCCTTGATAGTACCGGTATGCGTTTCTCAACTGTCATTTTCTGTGTTTTATTTTTATTTCTGTCGGCAGCTAAACCTCAAATACTTAATTGGTATAATTTAACAAATTTTATTATGACAAAATTATTATTTATGCTTTTGGATAATGTCACCTGATATAATTGAATAAAGCTTTACATTGAACCCAGTAGTGAATTCCGGGAGGTTGTGAATTGACATATCTTTGATGCGCTGTTCTCTGATGATGGGCAAGTCGTCTTTGTTCGTGTGTGGTGAGAAAGTTCGTTCCGCTTTAACGCGTTAATTTCTTTCAGTGCTTGAGTGATTTAACTAGTGATCTAGTGAATTTGTTAATTATTTTAGTGCACGTACCTTCATCGGATGTTCGTGAAGAAATGTAAGTAGCTGTATGCTCATTCGTGTAATTGCAGGTCTCCCGCTTACGGTTTGAGGTGACATCCATTCCCAAAATGGCTAGCGTCATGGCCGAAAATACAATGTTTTTTGCCAGTAAAATGAAGTTGGTTTTAAACAAACTGACAAACAACTGACTAATGCCGAACAATGTAGAGATTATATAGATCAGTTTAAAATAATATTTTCTTGTGTATATACATTTTTATAGGGTTGTTTTTACGTTTTGGTTAGGTAAATTGGAATGGCGTATGACTGTGTGTTTTGCATAGTAGGAAAGATACTTCACTCATACTGATGTTGAGAAAACAAAAGAAGTCAGTCGCATCCCGGCCGAAGAACATTTCTACATGCCATGAAATAGCAGTATTTTTAAAACTTATTTATCCAGTGATTGGTTTGTGAAACTCGAAAAATAAATAATACTGATACATGTTATGCACCAAGCGAAAAAGTAATGTAAAGCTGTCCCATGTAGCGGCCTGCGGGGGTGAAGGGGGTATAGCTCCTAATTCTTAATCTCGGCACTAGATGGGAGGAGTGATTAGCGTTACGCCCTGGCCGCGTTTTTATCCTCGCGAAAGGAGCTCGGTATGCATTGGGCCCGAGAGTAGAGGATACAGGATATATTCAATGACCCTGTCGGGGTTCGAACACCGGTCGTCCAGTCCGTAGACAGTCACTGAGCTGTTCCGGATAAATTTTTATGAAATTTTATTATCGACAAAATGCCATTTTGAGACGAACCCAAAATTTTTTTTTCCTGTGTAGTTGGTAATACCAACGTGACGTTTGCGAAAATTCGTGTGTTGGTACGATGTTGACACAGTTACCCATAATACTTTGCGCTAAATCGGAAATTGATGGTTTTCTAAGCTTTTTCTCTCAGACAATGTTTCATTTTAACATTTGCTTTCTTGTTCCTTTTTATTTTGTTCTTTCTCATTTCACTTTTCTTCCTTCCGTCCTCCATTAGCTCTCTCTCAGTTCTTTATTTCTCTTCCTCTCTCATTCTCCGTCATTCATTTACCGCCTCCCTGTGCTGAATGGCAGAGTGCGGGGGACGGGCGGCAGGTAGGAGACATGCTTGAATTAAGTCGCCCGCCCCCAGCTCACGTCTTCAGTTCTCAAGGTCTTTTAAGCCAGTCGGTTCCCACAGCATAGTGAGTTCGCTAACCGTGGACCGCGCGTGAATCAGTCACACGTTTCCTGTCTGATACGTATCGCCGCCGTGCTTTGGAGGTGCGGAATCGATGCGTTTTGCAGGACGAAGGTTAAAACAAAAAAAACTGTGATTGACGAATCGAGACTGTGAAGGAGCCTGAACAACTCGGTATAGTAACCAGGATACGGGCTGTATGACCGGGGTTTGGTTCCGGTCAGGGTATGATTTTTCTGTTTGTCACAACGTCCAGACTGGCTCAGGGACGTATACGGTCTCCTGTCCAATAAATGCTGCAATTATTTCGCCGGCCCACTGAGGACTTTCGTGGTGTTCCTCAGTGCCTCCAGGCACATGCCAGCAAGGTAATACCGTTAAGTTAGGCCACGACAGCTCCTTCCAGCATCCATTTCATCTCCTCTTTCATGAATAATTATATCATTTACTGTAATGATTCCGAGGTATTGATAACATTATTAATTAAGAAATTAGTTTTCTGTCCTGTATTATCTACCCTACCTTTTCACCAGTTCTATCTATACGGTCTTCCCAATTTTTTATGTAGTAATTTCTTTGACTGATATATTACTGATTCTGTAGTCATTAAATTGTAAACGAATCACTCTCATGTCATGGGCCTTCCAAATACGAGGTAGAAGGTCGTGCTTTAGTTAGTGGTTTATGAGCAGTCTGACTGTTACAAAAAACATCCACTTCGCAGATGTGTGTGATGAAGCAGGCAGTTGCTTCTTTTGTTTAAGGATGCAGGGAAATGTAAGTGGGTCTTTGGAGATGACCCCCCCCCCATGTCTGGACCAGGCGTCGCTATTAGCAGGGAGGGAGGAAACTTTTAGTTCGATAGTGAAACAAGATGTTGTTACTAGCTGTGACCTCCATTTCAAGTTCAAACTTTGATGTATGCCTCGTATTTGAAGGAACGGGAAAAGTTATGATCTTTGGCGAAAAAAAGAGAAAGCTGTTATTTTACATACGATATATATCGTGTGTTATGTGCAGTGGTTTTTGAGTTACTGGGTGTTTAGGAATTCCGTTTTTTTTTTTTTGCACATATGTTTTGTAGGCTCTGTCATCTTATGTGCTGTTTTAAATTCCGAGAAAATATTCTGCAAAATGTAATGTTGTTGCATTTGCCTGAGAAAAATACAGAAACGAAATGATTTTTGTTTTAGTTAATTGTGTTGTTGTGTGTGACTGATGGCCGTGGTTGCTGTGGTATGCGGTCCCTTCCATATGTGTGCACATTTTACATCTGTATACAGGGTCGTTTAATAAACTGTTAAATCGTGTCCTTTTGTTTGTGGGCTCGTAAGTAGTGATAAGGTATTTTTACTACGTGAAGTCATACTAAGATAGTTGTGACGGCACTATTACAGTTGCTTACCTGGTAGCCAGTCTTTTATCTGTAGCATGTTCTCAATGCGCTAATAAGCATCATAACAAGATCATAATTTGTTATTAATTTAATTTATAGAACGGGAACTCGCATTCATTACAAACTTACTCTGCTTGTCACATTCATTAATAAAAATTAACGCCTGTCCTGACGCTACGTTATCTCCAGTGGGCATTGAAGTCTTTTTCCCAGGGAGTAAAGTTCAACACTTACTTCCACACTTACTTCCACCTAGTGCCGAGGTTAAGAAAATATGGAGCCATGCCTCCATTTCCTCATACATTTTCATGGCGTGTGCTTTAAGCATTGTGAGCAAATGAGACAAAATAGAAATGATAAAATTGAAACCAATTTC